GTGTGTGTGTGTGTGTGTGTGTGTGTGTGTGTGTGTGTGTCTGTGTGTGTCTTTTATATGCTAGAAACTTTTGTGAAAAACTGGTTTCAATAATTTTAAATGACTTTCCTAAAATGCTGACTAATCAGACTTTCATTTAGAGTAATGACTTGATTCCAGGCTTATTTCTAGCACTGACATTACTTTTAATGTGCCAATTGTGTCATTAATTTTTTTCCTAAAGTCCATTGGGTCACACATTACATATCATAAACTCTCACTAAACATTTGTTGAGTATATATACATGTTAGTAAGTTATGATTTTTGACAAAACTTATCTATGGCATGAGAAGAATTCATTAGACAAGGTCTTTTTAAGTCAGTAGTCAAAATTCTCTGTAACATTATGAGATAATAAATGTAAATCAAAATCAAGCTTAAAATGCAAAATTAAAGTTATTTCAACACTTGGTCTGTGACTCTACTTTAAAGCACATTGAGTTTACTACAGACCTCCTTATAAATATTCTATATGTCATGTAAGTTCAAAACCTAGAGACTAGATTTATATCTAGTACTTCCCAGCCATTGTGGTACATGGATAATGAATCGTGTGTCAAATTCGTATCTGATTGCCATAGTTTTATAGACCATGTAAGGCACCTGATTAATGTAAGAATTAATTTCTTCACAAATATAATTTTATATTGAAATATTTTTTTTAAACTTTGAACTTTTCTATTACTTAGTACTGCACTTGAGGTATTTCGTTAAATAGGCATGGTTTTTAGGTATCCACTTTAGCTGTTACGAGGCCCACAATATTCTTCTTTGTTGCTTTTTTTTGTTTTGTAGAATTCTGATTCCTGGTTAACAAATAATTATTGTACATCTTTGTGTACAGTATGATTTTTTCAAAGCATGTGTGCTTACATATATATATATATATATATATATATATATATATATACACACATATATATATTCATCTTCTTCAACATTGAACATTACATTATATTATATATACTTCATAACAGTTCAAGATGCTTTTGCAGGGGAAATATATAATAAGTTGTCACCTGTGGCATACAGTTCCATAACTCTTCTTCCTCAGCAGAAAATGATCAACTCACGATGTTCTGTGATGGTTCCTGAACTGTACTATTGGTGGTCTGGATGATGGAAACGGTGACTTCTTTGTATATCTATCCTTAGCATCATGGTGTGTTACCAAACCAATCTGAAAAAAATGTCAATAGTCACCTAACTTATTATGAAGAAAATATCACAGCCAAGCATACAGAAGAAAATATAAAAAACAGCATTACAAGACCGAAGAAAACATTCGGAGCTCTCAATCCATTTTCACAGGAGACTTGTCCTTGGAAGTAGCAAGGGAAGGGAAGCAAGATGTTCCAGTCAAGAAAAGCAACATGTTGAGTACTTGTGCAACGTTGATCTTGAGAGGCAAAATCTTAAGAGATGATAATGTCAAGAGATAAGTTTCAGTAATAGGAACGGAAGGCTGGAGAAGTACCGGCATGGCACTTCAACAACGAAGTACAAGGAACACAAAAATATCCAGGTTATAGTCAAGGATAATTTTCAAGGTGTTTCTCTCCAAGTGGCTTCCTGGAAATGCAGAGGCTAGTGTAGTCAGCAAATATGTCCACCCCTGGGAATCCTGCCAAACTGATGGACTGTTTCTCTCACAGTTTATGTTAATAGGTCCCCAAAACAGTGCTTGTGGTATGAGCACATAACTCACTGCAATTTACTCTCAAGCTATTTTTTATAGGTAAACCTTACTTTTGAGCAGATGAGGATAAAAGATATGGTAACAATCTTTAGTAAGCCTTGGAGCTACACATGAGCGAGGCATTTGATTCTTAACGTTGTTATTTAACATTTCCAGAGAAAAATAAGAAATCTGAGTTCTGCTCAAACCATTACAGGAATGAGAAAGAGTCAGCTAAATCAAGCACCTGCTGTATATAAATTAAGTATTAGTGTACCTTTTATATTTGTATCTCTTACCGAGTTCGGGTGTGTTCACGTCAGCAGAGTATGTATCACTGTCCCTGCAAATTCCACTTCGAGATACTTTCAAAACTAATTTACTTTCCCAATGTTCGAGTCATTTTCCAAAGAGAAGTCATTTAAAAAATCATGTTTCTACTGAAAAACAGATGTGGTGGCTCTTTAGTGGAGAATATATGTGCTTTTCTGTGACCTGCCTTTCCCTAATTAATCACAAGCATCTCTTGATTCATGTATCTGTAATTCATGGTCAAATCAAACATTTTCTTTCACTCACTGGCGTTTTCCCAGTCCATGCTCACTGCCCACTGTCCCCACTGGTCATTTTTCATATTCACTTCCTACTAGGATTTAAATCTCATCTGAAAACCAGACTCTCTTTGAAATATACTGAGATTATGAAAGTAACCTTTATTAAGTTTTTTATGCTAGAGGGTATGTGCGCTCATGAGAGAGGAGAGAGAGGAGAAAGCATTCCTCATGTGGCATGGTCACGCTGCAATCAGTTCTCCATCTCCTCCTCTTTTGGTGCCCACGCACTCAGCATTTTTCTCACTGCTAGATCCAGGACATGGACTGCACAATCAGCCACGTGGGATCCACATACTCTATGCACCAGGCCACAGAGCTGGCCCAGTTTCATTTTTATAGCATTTATTAACTTGTGGTCAAGTCTTACCAACCTTTGGGGAAACCATATTGCATTGCATTTCTCTAAATCAAAAGTATCTGGGAAATAACTGCTTCAGGCAAAGGAACATGACACTTGGGACTTTCTTTTTTTTTTTTTTTTTTTTTTTTTTTTTGAGAGAGAGGTTTTTGCTACAGGGCGCGTGCGCTCGCCAGACAGACAGACAGAGAGACAGAGAGACAGAAAGCGAGAAATCACCCCCCAGAGGGAATGGCCACGCCGCAATCCCTTCTCCCCCATTCTCCTCTCGGGATCATGGGCACGCACGCACACACGCCCGACGTGAGTTCAAGTCACCTGGCCCAGGACTCGAACTGCAGTCGACCACGTGGGAGTCCAGCGACACAGCCATTACGCTAACTGCTGGTCCCTCTGGGAATTCCTTATAGCTACATTTGACGGAACTCATCATTATTCAAATCCCAGCAAATACTATGTTAATTTAAAATGTGGCAAATAAATGAGTGCTTGATTAAAATGACAGGACACTTTGTCATATTTGTAGAGATGACTCTCTCTTTATGTGCTGCTTGATTATTATTCATTATGTTAAAAAGGAGGTCATGTATTTTAACATACCTTATCAATTAGAACATCTCATACAACACAATAAATAAAGGTATTAGTCATAGAACTGTGAGTACTTTGAAATCAAAGGCTAAGACAATGTACATCCTGAACTTACCTCAGCCTATCAGAATAAACTCTAGCAACATAAACACTTAGTAACTCAAGAATGACCACATAAGAAAATCCACTTTCTTCAATGTCCATTCAACAATATTTTCTCACAGGATGTGATCTTAATTTAGCAAAAATATTCAGGGTGTGACTAAAATATCTGGCTAAGTCATTTAAGTCGTTTCAAAATTGGTTTTCAAATTCTTCACTTGTGGAACACTCATTCTGTAAGACAAAATGGCGTTCCACTTCTTAGTATAAAGGTAATTATTTATCAATTTACCAAACTAAGATTTTCTTTAGGCAAAGAATTAACCTGAATAATTTTTCTTTTGGAGACTATTCATGTGTGTCTAATAATTACTGCTAGCATATGACAGAACTAGTCAACGTATAGTATTAATAAATAAAATGGGAAAGTTAAATCAACTTAATTTGGAATATTCCTTTCCCTGACCCTGTTAGAAGTTGTTCACTTTGTGATTCAGTGTACAAATATAATTGTTTTAAACCATAATGATGTTAGAAAATTTCACCAAAGAATTACATACATATTCCCTAATTTTGTCGTGTTTAGCAATGACTATAGTATCCCAGAAATGTGTGAGATTTCAAGACCAAGTCATCTCAACAGGACTGAGACTCATAGTTGTACACACATTTTTGCATCAACATTCCCTTTTTTGTTGTTGTTGCTATACTTTTGGTTACCAAGATTCAAAATAAAATAATGTTTTGTCCTATTTCCCTTTTACATGCGTATCTCCCTTAAAAATTCAACAAACCTCTTAGAATTGCCTCTTATTTTTTTTTTTAAGCATAAACTTGATCCATGCCTTTATCAGTTTATCTATAATTTACCATAGAAATATCCTTAACTTATCTTTAGGTTTTCTCTGTTTGCTCTTGGTAGTTTGGAAATGCTAAAATTTTGAAAGTACAAATAAGCGAAAAAATTTACAGAAATAACCTTTCCATCCATTAATTTTATTCCACATACAAATGGCATCGTATCCACCCTGTGCTTATGTTACTGTCTTTCTCTCATTCTTTCTTCTCTCTGCCTTACTGGTAGGCATATCTGAAATGTCTGTGGAATACAAAATACCAGTTTGCATATTAACAAATAGAATCATTTCTTCTCCAAAAGCATACTACTTCATTGTGCCCTGGACCCAAACATGCACTTTTTGCCTCCGTTCCCATGGGAACTTACCCAGGATAGCTAGTTCAATGCAATCCTATGTCCACATGTCAGCCCTGGAAACTAAAACGTGGGGAAGAAAAGCAGCAAGGTTCTTTGTAAGGATATTTCCAGGAAGTTCCAAACTCTGTCTCTATGTAGCGTATTGGCCATCACTGAGTTACCTGGCCACACCAAGTGGTAGAGGACCAAAGTAGATCGTTATAGAAGGGCAAACTGGATGCTGGGGTTAATTAGAAATCTCGAGCAACACACTTTGCTCATGATTTTTGTTTGTTTGTTTATTAAAGTTCCATAACTCTGATGGGGATCAATGAATAAAGATATTAGTCATGGAACTGATTCTAATGAATGACAGAAGTTTGTCAAAATACTTTGACCTGAATTAAAATGAAGCTATTTGGCTTGATAATCTCTAAAACAGGCAGTTGTAAAATACTGTTATTTTTCAACTGTGACGATCTTT